CATTCATAAAGTGTATAACATGTCAGACATGAATAATCTTAAACTAGTAGTAAATTACTTTTCTTTCAATGGTATAATTCATTATTTTTTCAGGGTACTTTTATGTTTGTTATCATCACCTTGAACAAATAATTCCCCAACTTTCTTTTTTCTGCACTTGCCACCACAATGAACGTATAATTCGGGCATGATCATGTACATTTTTCTCAGAATCACAGTATACGTAATTCCTTTGCAGGATACACACTCAGGATACATGAACCTACATGTAGTTTCCTAAAAAATAAAGAAATGTAAGAATTTTAGCATGTAAACAAATAAACAGTTGAGCAGCATTCTCCAAGCAGATGTAGGGAGGGAAGCCAACAGTGCACAAATGTACCTGTACAAAATGGCTGAAAGCACAAAATGTTTATCACACTGTACACGTGACAGAAATATCCCCTTATTCTAGTGGACTCTTCCATTTCATGGATGGTTGGATGGCCTATTTCCTAGTTGACACGCCTGCATGGGCTGTTCATCCCAATTTTTAGCAAAACCAATCAAGCTCTTGATTTGCCCATCTAACACACGTGAAGGCAGTCCCTTGGGACATCATTGACATACATGTAATCTTATAATTAATATAAAGTCTATACATATATTGAATGATATAGCAAATAACATCACCAAGTTCAGAAAATTCATAGAAAATCTTCATGGTACCCCTCCCATTCTATATATTCTCTACTAATCTTTGACTAGTTTTAGTAGTAGAAGAAAGACAACCATCAATACACAAGTACATGTTTTATATAATGACCAAGTGTATATATAGCATAGACACATGCTTAAAGTCTTTAAGTCTTGTCAGATTTACAATGCTGCCAACGTTATATTTTCATTTTGGTAGGCATCTTTCCTCCTTGAAAAATGATGGTAGCACTCTAGGTCTGGTGTGGCCATGTAATAGTAAGACTTCTTGAAATAGAATGTTGTTTTAAATGACACATTTGCGAGGTTGTACGGTGGATGATAACATAATTGTAGCATGATTCATGTTTAACATTTATACTGGTATTCATGTATATATAGCTGGCAATGATTGGTGTTTCATTACCAGACGTAAAGAGAAATTGGTGAACGTCGCTACATGCATAATTCAGACCGTGCCGGTTGCAAATGAAACGTTGGTGACCTAACGAAGCGTGGGGTGGAGTCGTTCGCTGTCATTTCCCGTGACAAATCACTGCACACCGACAAATCAATAGGCATCCTTTTCAACGGGAGAAAATCAATAATACGTACACAAGTATCCAGCCATTGCCCCACACCCACTGGGACCTGCACTGTTATGCTGCTTTTAAAGACTGCTTCTTAGTAAGAAACAAACTATATGGAACCAATGATTGTTTCACTGTTGCACAGTGTGATGAAAGACTGAAGACTGTTATAATTATTGTGCCAACAACAAGCATACTGCGACTACATGGCATTTCTTTTATTCATGTTAAGAAATCTGGGCACAATTTTTGTTCATAATAAATTTAATTGGAAAGGCCATTTCCATTTTTAAATGTCAATTGCTCACAATTATAGCACAGAGTGCAACTGACAAAATTCTGTACAAACTCTGAATATAACTGCTCTGAAGGTACATATAACCAGTAGAAAATGTGAAAGATACAAAAAATGTGATGTGTACCCTGGGTACCAGTGTGTTATTTCGATAAAGGATTGGATTCACAAGATTTTCACTGTTATTTCAGTAACTCATGTGACAGGTAAAAAAATACATGTATATATTGCGTGAAAGCCTCTAATAATGGCTTGCCTCCCCTGGGAATGAGATTGGATGACATACCAATAGGTCATCTCTTTCCCAGCATCACCACGTCCCTTTGACCTTTCTAAAGAAGCGATGATTACAAAACATCCTGATCTCTACTGTCTGAAGATGATCTTATCCTGCGACAATGTGACTTTTTCTCACAGACACTGTGGGACATCTTTCCTCATCTACCGGTGCATCGATTTAAGCAGAGATTGCGGCTTTCTCTGGTCCCATTTCTAGATGTCACGCAGGGGCTTTTACTTCAAGGTCATAGGACTATCAGGACCTTGGATGACCCCAAGTCGTTAGAGAGCTAAATTTGCATATACATAAGACTTGGCGCATACTAAATCAGCTTGTTCAAAATGTTGCATGTGCAATATTTGTGCAGTTAGCAATTAGTTACATAAATTGTTGAGTTTAACTGTCAAATGAAGCCCATTTAGGGTACAAGAAAATATTGTACGTAGTGAGAGATACCGGTATACCCCTATTGTAAATTAGGATTTGGGCACTGTCACACTGACATGAGTATTGAATTAAGTAACTATCATACTTGCATCATGCATATATTTACATGTAGGGTTTTATTAAAAGGCCTGTTTCTTCACATAACTCACCTGCTTTTGGGTTGTGGATAAGCTGCAACACCAGGGGTCGTCTGGTCACTATACCCGACCCTCGGGGTAGGAAGTCCCTGGGAACACACAAACGAAAAATGTCTGGATCATCAAGTATGAAACATCAATGAATTTTAGACATCCAGGTAGAGCATTACTGGATAAATTCTTTCAAAGAGTCAGACATTTCAGATAGCATCCACTCTCTTTCATCAATGACTGACTTAAAATGCATTCTGCGTATGTACATGTACAAATGTATGAAGCACAGGTATTACTACTTCTTACGGGAGAAACCTTGCTTCCGTTTCTAATCCTATGTACATTAAGTTATTACACTTAGTTCGAGCTATAAATTGGCAATGTCAACACAGGCCATAATTAGTAATGTCAAGCCTCAAGACATACATGTACTGAATGTCCATTTCATTTCACAATTGTAATTTTATTTAATGTAAAACAGTTTTACAATGTTACACTAGTACACTGTACAACATATACTCTTCTCTCATATAAATACAAAATTACATACGTAGTTTGTAAATTTCACATTTCCTCCATTATAGTATACTAATCAGTATGCTATGCGCTAGAGCTGTGGACAGTGCCACTTAGTCAAGAGGGTTTAATACATTGTACTTCCCCGCCAATGGCACTTCAAAATGCTTGACGAGTTCTCAAATGAAATTTATGACAAATTGTGATGGGTAGCGTGCCATTAGGTCAGCCATAAATGCCACTGTAGCTATCTGGAAGCAAAACCATTCTACACGGTCAGCCCAAGGACAACAGTTGGCAGGAATACAAGATGTGTGAGCGTTAATATTCATGACATAAGGGGGGTATGATGTCGTGCAAGACCCTAGATACACTCTGTGGGCAAAGAAGAAGCGAAACAGACAAATCAGTCGGTATTAACTTTGGAACGTGTTTAAACTATTTCATACACAAATCACTTCCTACTGTAAAGCCTACTAAAGATAATTTGACAAAAGAAGACAATACGTACACATGTATGTTATTTCAAATTCAAGTTCCCCAACTACAATCCAACTGTGACAAAACATTTCTTGTTTTCAAGGTGAGTTTAAAAGAACAAATACCACTGGAAGGTGTTTAAACTATTTTATATACAAATCACTTCCTATTGTAAAGCCTACTAAAGGTAATTTGGCAAAAGCAGAAAATATGTATGTTATTTCAAGTTCCCCAACTGCAATCCAACTGTGACAAAACATTTCTGGTTTTCAAGGTGACATTAAAAGAACAAACACGCAGTGGAAGATTGCAGTATGTGTGTATTAAAATTAAACATGGCAACGCAAACAAACATGACACTGTATTTGGACAGTTTAACGGAAACATTACTACAAATATGCAAATTAAGGTAAGGAACTGCAAACAGAAACACCTGTGCTTTTCTAAGTAAGGAGTCGCTAATGTGACCTAACTGTGACTATTTTCGGAAGGTATGACTTGCGCTTCTATTGACGGCCTATGACCTAATGTGTGTGCATCAAACAATAGAAGCTAAACAATAGAGTAGGTGCCACAGAAGCCATAACAAAGGTAACAAAGGCAGGTAGTGTTCAAAGTAAAACTACATGTGTATTCTAATATGTTTATTACACCTAAAGTGGCTTAAGATATTAACATAACACAGCCCAAAATAAACAAAATATTTAATTTGTTTAGCAAATGGTTGCATTGAAAAACAAGTGATTTGTTTTAAAACTCTTACTAATGAAAGAGGTCATAACAAAAGTGATTTGTTGCCGTTTACAAGGATTGACAGGCAAATTACGGCAATGTCACCTCCAAATGAATTTTTAGGATCAAAATCAATCACCATCATAATAGTGTCATGCAATCCATTCGTGATAAGGGCACAAATTCCCCACAGAAAACCCGTTACGTGGGCTGACCCGATCGGTTGATTGAATTTTCTCAACAACTTGATTAGAAATGTCACAGATCGAGGTAGATCGGAGTGATGCCTGCCGACTTGTGAATATTTCTGCTAGTGTCTTGCTGAAGTGGTGAAGCCCCGGTGGTCGATACGGGATGGTACCGTATGTATGTATGAGTTTCCCAAATAGGGCAAAGCGGAAATACATCCCGTCATCTCCTGCAGGGAGCCACTGTTGTGATCCTCCAAAACGCCCGGGTCTGGGCGGATCGCCGGCTTTCTACTGTAGTGCACTAGTAGAAACTCTGATTTATAGGTCAATACAGATGCGGGTATGCAGGGTTTGGATGTATCATACCAAAGAAATAACGAAGTTGTTGACAAAATCTTCTCTCACCTGCCAACGAAATTTTCCAACACACTGCTCTTCCCGGCACTTTGCCCTCCCACCACGGCGATTTGTGGCAGGTCCAAGTCCATGCGATGCCCGACCTGGGAGAAGGCATCTTGCAGTTTGTTCACCAGGGGGATCAGTTCCTCCAATCCCCTGTTAGCCCACGCCATATCGTTCGTTTAGACCTCAGAAAACGCCGCTAAAGATGCAATAGAATCACGTCTCCATCTCCACCCCCTTCTCAAAAATCAATATGGCGGCTGTCAGGGTAGTGAGCATGCGCGGCCGGGACGTCCCGTACAGCATGTTGGGATACCCACAACTGAGCTTCAACAAAATGTCAAATTTAAATCATTTCATAAAGTCTGTATCTTTCAAAACAACCTTCTAACTGAGCACAGACATACCGTACACAGTTTGCATTGATGATATCTGGGTCTAACGAAGCATGTCGTTGTTTTTAGTGACCATAAATATGAGACACACACCCCTCTGCGGGATTTAGAATGGCCCGCATGAATCCTAGTCACATGCCTCAGAGATGACGGATGTCACCAAGTATTACTTGTAATAATGACCCCCAAGTCATTCCTTCACCCTTATCTGCAACTCCCAGACACGCGTCCCTGACTAGGGGGACATCGCTCATGACAAAATGTCATCAGTTGGCTTCTATTAAAACTTCTCATGTCTCTGGAACATGCAATTGTATCATCAAACATTCCGCTGAATCCAAGGACTGTCTTTTGAGTCATTGATGAGGGCAAGGACATTATTCCTATAATGCCCTTGATGAGGGCAACATTTATCCTTTAGTTCTCATCTGTCCTAGATGATGTGGCTTATGCAAAAGGAAACAATGTTGAGTGAAGGCCATTCAAACCTAAAGGAAAATTCAAGGGTTCCCAATGTTGAACTTCTTCCTTCCTATTGAATATGGAAGATGTATAACGTTACAGGATTTAATTTTGTATAAAAAATTTGTGGACCAAGAAATTATTGTTTTAGTAGCTTGTTGCCCTTTGTTCAAATCTCTGAACAAAGAATTACAGTTATGGAGTCTAATTGGTGTGTAACAACTCACCATCTTAGCTTCCAGTGCAGCTCTTCTAAAATACACAACCTCACCAATAAACTATCATCAATAAACAAAGATGAATATCCTTTGATTTTTTGTCCTTTCCTTGCTAAATGGTCTTTGATATATAATTCCAAGTAGTCATAGTCATACATGACAAAATGCACTTTCAAAATGAATGTATTAATCTGTTTTTGAAGCTTAGTCAACCAGTTCATCTCTTACTTTAAGTATCTTGACTGGGAAACTTTCAATCCAAAAAAGAAGCAGCTGACAACATGTTACTCTTTTCAGGTTTTACTTCAGTCTAGGAATGTTTAATTAACAGTAGTTTTGCAAAATGATATGTAAAAATAATAAGCAGTTACATATTACATCACAGAATCTATAATATCAGTGCTATTTTAAAGTATCCTCTGCCATATACTTGGTAGACATTCAAACCAAGTATCCAACTTGATCTTTTATTGTGTAACAAAAAACAGTAAGACAAATAGTTTTTACATAGAGAGGCAGACTTTCTTAACTTATTACACTAACATTGACACATCTATTCCTCTTCTTTTTCAACATTACAATCATGCAGCAGGATCTTAATATCAGATGACATCATTCACATAATTTCATAACCACAACATCATTGACAAATAAAGAAATGACACAATGTGATTTTCAAATTCACCTGACTCCCAGCACAATAATACATGTCACATGTCACCACATTTATTATATAAGTTAAATCTACATCCAACCACAGCTATGACTCCATCTTCCTTCAATTTCTTTTACTTCTTCTTTCAAGTGATGATACTATATAGTGGTTTTCCCTAACATTCTAACAAAATCACATGTCTAGCTTGTTTTGGACTATTCTGCACAATGTTTTGGGCCTAGTTGATTTTGAGGTTTTGGTGAAGTTCAGGCCTGATGTCGTACACCAGCTCCAGGATTCGTGACATCACTTCCTCCTTGTTTTGGAGGACGTTCTGGTTTAGTTCCTCCATCTTCTGCAATGTCTGTTCATCCATACGCCGCACAATATCTGTTCTGGAGCCCATGTGCTGGAGAAAAACACATCATGCATCAGAATTGATATGTGTGTACTATGGAAAGAAAGGATTGAAATGATTACAAAAAAAAAAAATTACACAGTATTTATGAGGAAAATGGCTTTTTCACTATCTCAGCCAACTTGAGCCAACCCATAACGGTAATGTTCTTAGGAATTCATGAATTCTTACAAATCCTGAAAGACCTTGAGCCTAAATTTAGAGGGCAGTGAAAATTGAATACTAAAGTAATTCATGACTAGGAGGTTTGCACAACAATTTAGATGCAAAATTATTGAATTTTCTGTTAACATGCACAACTCTTCTAAATTTTAGAAAAGAACATAATGACAAGTTATTGTACCTTTTCCTGGTGCTCCAAAAACTGTTTTTCTCTCTCCGTTCGGTATGTCTCTATCTCAGCCTGAGCCTCTTCCTTTGCCTGCTTCAAACGACGGTTTTTACCTGGGAAAGAAAAATTATTTTTGAGGAATCATCACACCAGCCCGCCTGGCGTACAAATTATTAATATATTGCTCACTACAGGCATGCAACGAAACCTTATATTAAACTTTGACTACAAGATGACTTCAGTGAATTGTTTAGCAGTGCAACATTCGTCAAAATTTACAGAAAGAGGGTACACACACATACATGTATCATGGTGATAACAGGTAACATGATCATGACGTCAGCAAACCCCAAATTGCTCGTCAAATTGTGCAACTTCTGTTGAATTTATACCTCAAAATTTACGATATTCTTAACCTATAGAATATTTATCGTCTACTGGGATAGTTTCTTACGTTTCCGGGCCTCTGCGACCTTCTCTGCGGCGCGTTTTTCCGCGGCCAGTAGCTGCTGGATACCGGTGGTCTGACTCGCCATTTTCTGGATCTCGTGACGTCTGTGATGGACGAGTCCACTTCCATACAGGGGTGTGGTGGGCGGTGGCTCTGAAAATATTTGATAGTGCCTGGTATTACTTTTTTCCGGCCAAAATGGCTTCATTGGTGATATTAAAGAGAATTTTGCATTCTACGTATAAAACAATGTCGAGCTTTTGGAAATACATAGAGTATGGAGTGCTGTAAGCGTATCAATTTAAATCCTTTCAAACAAAGCGATATTATTAGAGAAACCAATAAGCAACAAATACAAGATATTAAAGCGTTTCACATTGTTTTCACCACTTCCTTTTTTTACATGCATTATTTCCATCTGATCATAACATTATTGTCCCGATCAATAAATTTGTATTTAAAAAAAGCGATGCCTGATTATCATGTTATTGGTATTTGCCGCCACGACTTTACTAGTATGTCAGAGTGCTAGTATGTGACACATTTTTAAGCGGTTTTCAATTCAAGGTAGACAATGGCACATTCAAGTTTTTAATATAGATACAATATATATATTTCTCAAAGAAACATTGTCAGGAACTGAAACAAAAAAGCACTTGTCAAAGCAGTTTGCAACAAGTTGCGAAAAGTTATTAAGCTTAGTTAACTATAGTAACTGTTAACAGTTATATTCGGTTGTTTTTAAGAAAGGTGGGAATTTATCCATTTTCTCAGTTTTAAAGTGGAGGTTAAAATTCCAGATTTGATTTTATCAATATTATATTTTACCAGTACACTTACACACGCGCGCGCGGACGCACGAAACAAAACAGGCACGAGTTAATGAATTTTGAACAGCCCCAGTGAAACTGCTGAAGTGGTCGACACGAAGATGGGGTCGAAAAGACGTCTGCTGCTGGTCTCTAACTCCACTCTGCACGGGAGCGGCTACCTGGACCACTGCGAGGAGCAGATCAAGAGTTTCCTAGGAAGGTATGGTCGTCTAGTAGCGTCCCAAGTAGACCGTATTACCTCGAGATGAGTTCTACCGTTCAGTGAACCACTAGCTAGTGCATCCGGCATGTGTACGTCCTGTACTTGGGTAACGCCTTCATAAAGTTATAACGTTAGATCATACGTCTAATGGTCCCTGACTTATGGTATTATAGAGAATATACTGTAGTCACATCAGACTTCGTGTTATGGTGTTACGAAAATAATCCTGGAAGAAGCGTCTTTTTGTTGTTGTACGTGCTCGAGTACTACTGGGTACTGAAAGCTGCACCTCGTATAGTAATAACCTGCACATATGGCACGCACATGTCGGTGGTAGATAGACCGTTATCACTGTTGTATCTTCTCACAGCACGAATTCTTATGGATTTTGATAGGAATAGCAAAACTTTTAATAGTCTATCTTTGAACAATATTGTTCTGTTAGAAATGTGTCCCTTTCCTAGTGACGCCATTTGCACACATCACGGAAACAAATGGTTCATTTATTGGCCTTAAACAATGGACACGCCCACTAACACCTGTTCAACTAGCAGCGAAATTTGGGGGAGCCAAGATTGGCAAGGCAAATCTCCTAGCAGATCTCCCTATAGTATTAACTTAATATTAATTGCTAACCAACTATTCCAGACAACTATGGCCCTTCTGTGGGCTTTGAAAAGGGCTGGCTAGTAGTTATGATTTTGCCATATGGAAATCTGCTCGTGGATTAAATACACCTGTAATACTAATAGCAAGGCACACAATAATGGCGAATATTACAACTTCTTAAATAGACCTGGGAAAAACATAACACCCCTGTAGAGTATAGGTCAGGAATGGCAATATTAAATTATAGGAAGGCCAATAAAACCATCTCTAGTTGTTTTACACCTTGTTGAACTGACAACAGGTTGTACTCATCTCCAAGCAGATGTTTGATGTTTTGTTTGTACTTTCATTGATGGATAACTAACATGTACATGTTACATGTATGTTTTGCTCTTCACAGTCAGGTGAAGACAGTCCTGTTCGTTCCCTATGCCCTGCATGACAGAGATGGCTACGCCAAGATAGCACGGACAAAATATGAGAGCATGGGTAAGTTCACTCTAATGTACATTCTGTAATTCTTTTCACACAGTGCTAGCATACCAATATGTAATAATCTTTTAATCTTTATTTGCATGTTCATGCCCATAGGGCTAAATGCATTCAGTATGAGTATGATGTTACATGTATATCATACTGAGTATTAACATAATACATAGAATAGAAGTACATGTATAAAAGAGTAACGAATTATCTTTCACTCAAAGATCACAAGGAAGCAGTATTGGCTGAAGAAAAGGGAAAAGCTTTTTTATTCTACACTTTTCCTTGGACAAACACCTTACATCAATACTACTTCTCTAAGGAGAATGTGGTAACAATCTTTTTATTGTATTAAATGGTGGAGAAGGGGCAGTGGTGGGTGAATTTTGCAGAGCACACAAAAACGTGGCTGTGGAAGCTGAACTAAAAACAGAAGAGGCCGTCACGTGAGACTGGGTCACATGGGGTACGGTCAAAACAAATCAAGTTTGTGTAGCTAATTAAAAAAGATGATTCTGAAGGAGACATTTTTTCCATAAAAGTCTTAGGAACTACTAGAGAATACATTCTATCTAATCAGACTATAGACACTATTATAGTGACTTCCTCAAGGATACAGGTTACAGTCACATTAGAGCAATTAACTACAGAGACTTGACTAGAGTTACAGTTAAAATTCAACCTCACAGATGTATTTGTTTCAGGATACAAACTGGACAGCATCCATGAGCAGCCAGACCCAGTAGCAGCAGTGCAGGCTGCAGAGGCAGTATTCATTGGTATGGACAGGGTCTACTTCATCAAAAAACAACTCTAACACTGATGATACAGAAATCTGACTTTGTTACACAACCAAAGACAACAAAATTGACTTCAATGTAAATCTTTTTTTCTATTTTGTATATCAGACATGTAACATTACAGGTAACGTTATATATGTATTATTGATACAGGTGGTGGCAACACATTCCGTCTCCTAAAGGCTCTCTATGACAACAAGATTGTCTCGGAGATAAAGAAGAGGGTGTTGGAGGTAAGACATTTTCCCGAGTGATATTTTGGTGATAATGAGGTGATAATGAAGTGCATTAGCACACACCAATTATAGGCTTAACAGGTGTCCCTCCAGTTCTGTCCAACTACAAAATGTAACCTAATACCACAGGGTGTCTGCTACAGCACCAATTACCATGGTGACAGACGCCTGGTCCAGGTTATTGACCTTATTTGTTTGTAGAAGAAGAGGAAGAAGAAACAGAGCAAAAACAATACAATTTCCTTCTGTGAAGGTAAACATAATTATTATACCTGTAATAATCTTCTAAAATCTATTTTCCTTCACCAGGATGGAATGCCCTACATCGGCTCCAGTGCAGGGACTAATGTCTCCACCATCAGTATCAGTACCACTAACGACATGCCCATCGTCCAGCCGCCCACGTTTCAAGCCATCGGCCTGGTGCCCTTCAACATTAACCCTCATTTCCTGGACCCTGATCCTAACAGCACACACCAAGGGGTAAGAACAGAGTGGCCGCATTTAGAAGAAATAGTCTTGTTGATGCCTTTGAAGGCTTTTTCTCCATAAAAAGCACCTCCAGAGCATTTTTAAGAAAGCATTGCATAAACAGTGCTATATAATTGTGTAATGGTACTATAAGTACATAATTCATTTTAGAATAAATTCTACTGGAAAACTAACAGAATGCTTCTGTATTCCAGGAAACCAGGGAGACAAGGATAAAACAGTACCATGAGGAGGCTGACACACCACCAGTGTTGGTAGGGACCTCTTCTCTCTTGTGTACTTGAGGTAGTCTATGTAAGTTAATTACTATTACTATCTAGTAGTATAAACTGGAATAGCTGTATCTGGTTCAAGAATTTATCATGTGCAAGTTTACCAGAGCTTGTAGTAGCTTGAAGGAAAGGAATTCAAAGTGATCTTGGTCCTAACCACTAACCACTGAACAAAGAAGAGAGAACTATCAGAATGTGATTACATACTAGTATATCATTTTTTCCTGCCTAGGGTTTGCGTGAAGGAGGTATCCTCCATGTAGAGGGAGACACAGCAACTCTGAAGGGGACAACCAAGGCAAGGCTGTTCCTCAAGGGGAAGGAACCCACCGAGCATGACCAGGGAACAGACTTCAGCTTCCTTCTGGACCCAAAGAACTACTAGCTCAACATCAAGTCCTGAAGAGGCCTACACTTTTCTAGTCATGTGCCTAGAACAAAGAAATTCAGTTTTCATCAGTTCGACCATTTGAGTTCAAACTTAATTTTGTTCTTCATTTGTTTAGGACATGATTTTACTGGTGTCTTGATTCTTCATAAATTGTTACCATGCACACTTTTGAAAGTATGCTTTATTAATCAACTTTGAAAAGAAATGAATTAATATAAAGAAATGTGATGTACATGTATTGTGCACGTCAGTGGCACCTGTAATACAAGATGACAGGTATTTTGAATCATGTCACAGTCATACATTAAATTTTGATGATCATCTTGCTGCTTTTTAATTAACATAAATACATATAGTTCAGTGGCTAGTTCTAAACTTTGACAAATCTGTTCAATATTGGCAATGTAGAATTTGGTGATATTCTAATTAAGTAAGTTGGTAGACTGTTGTCATGTGTGCCAACCTAGAATCATCCTGCAGAATATGGACATAGAAACAGCAATAAAGTTAATTTTGACTATCTACCTTACTACCAGTTTCTCTTGATGAAAGATATATGTGGAGTTCAGATTTTTATGTTACAAGGTAGCCGTTATTGCCAAACATTTACCAAACTAAGAAGAAAATGTCAACTCTTACTTCAGGTACATGTCCTGGAATTTCTTTCAAAGAATGTACGTGGTAAACTTAAGAATTGTGCCACATTGAAGGAAGCTTGTAGAATATGTTGTTTTTTTCCCAATCTCCTTATTGGAACCAGATATGCATTGCAGATATCAAGATCCTTTTCCACCTGACAGGGGTCGCTGTTAGAAGTTCCCGGCAAATTTCCGTTCCTATGACAACGGTCAGAGGTCGGTTAGGTCGGAACTGGTTCATCAACTCCGTGCCATCAGGTCAGTAGAATCGTACAGCTGGGCGGAGCACGGCGAGACATTCTGCAGTTTATATAGAACAGTTGTACCGTGGTCTAAATGTCGTCTGAATCTGGAAAATTCACGGACCGAGTCCGGAACGTCGCTGAGACGGTTTGGGATGTGGTATGTCTTTATGTCTTGTCTGTCAGATGCTAATAATACTGTAGTAACTTCTACCGGCCTACCTGTATCTGTCAACACTGCAGTAATGCCAGGTAAAAGCCTAATCCGTATAGCACGGTCTCGGGTTGTCTGTTGACAATTTCGTAGAATGGAGCATCGTAACATTTGTTGAATATTAATATTTCATAAGCTAATTTATTCAAAGCTTGTTTGCACTTCGAATTCAGCGATTCAACATGTGTTTCTGCAAACGTGTTGGATGGTGCACGAAGTATAGGATTGGTGCCATCAAAACATGATCGGCTGTTTGAAATATAACTTCCACTCGCTGCTTCTAATATCAAGTAAAACGATAGTGTACTTTAATCTTAGTGCTGCACAGCAATACAAAATAATGAGACTGCGAACGGGCCATCGCCAGGATATCGGATGATCTGATTATTTTAAATAAAAGCCCATTTCGTCTCGCCACGGATGACACGTCGGTAATGTTACGTGTTAACGTGGTGTTGAGTGGCAGGAAACAAACATTGGAACATCTAAGTACCTCGTCTGTAATAATGTTTATGTTGGGGGTGTGTTTAACCTCGAGCGTGGAGTGTATTTGGTATGTACATTGTATGTATGAACTCCTTTCAGCGTGACATGAATGTTAAGAGGGGCATCATGCCGGGGCTTTGATGGCCCTTTGAGCGCCCTTTAGAATTCCCACCATTCACAGCTACAGGGAGTCTTTTTTTCACACACAAGAAAAACGTGTTCAGCCACAAAACCGGCGTCACTATTGTACTGTGGACATTTTCTTTAATACACCTTCTGTCCGACTCTGGTCCTGCATGGAGTTGTACTGTGCACCTGCATATATCCTTTATTTAAACATGTTCATGTAGACCCAATATAAAACCGCTGGACACACGACCTCAGTTAGCCTCTTTTATATATATGACGGATCCGGATGTTTATACCAGGCTGGTTATGGTGTTTATTGACCTGTATGGCTACATACTTACCAAATGATATATTTGTTGCTCATTTCTTCACAGCTTACACCAACTTATACATTACCTGCAGAATAAAAATAGTATACTCAGTATATGACCTTAGGCCATGTTGATTTGATTATATGGATGACATCCTCCGGGAGCCCAAAAACTGATGCGCGCGTGCGAATAAAAAAAAAGTTTTGCAAAAAAAAAAGTTCTTTTCATTATGAAATCTACGTGGTCATGAGGGTTGAGCAAATGGCACAGAATATGGTTTGGCGAATAATCTAGTTTTCAAGTTCATTTCTTTACAATTTCGTCTTTTTTCGTTTGATTTTGGCATTTTTTGGCATTTTTTGTTACTTATGGTATATTTTTGCTCATTATGCAACTGTTTTGTACGATTTACAGTATGGTTGAAAACTTTTTTTTTTTGGAAACGGCCGAAAATTCATGCGCGCGCGGATGTCATCCATATAATCAAATCAACATGGCCTTAGATGGGCAGCGGTAACTTTAATGTACTACATAGCGGAAACAATAACCTTGACCTCAAAGTCTTCCGGTCCAAACTCCAAGAAGGCCAATCTTTAAAGCAAGAAATTTAAGAACAGCTTGGAGGAAAGTCTGCATGGACAAGAGCGGTCAAGCCGTCTTCGATCGTCATATTTTTGATAAGCTATATGTTCTTATCGATATAGAAAGTCTTCATTAAATGAGTCATTTTTACGATGATTAAAGCAACGTGAGTACTGAGAGCTAGATCTTCTTCAAAATTCCTCTACCAGGTCTTCAGGTTCTTCAAGAGGAATCTGCCCGTCATCGCCCGCCTTCTGCTCATGATGACGTTTTTCGATGACGGGCTGCGGATGATCTACAACTGGACCAACCAGGTACGTGAAAAACCTCAGACAATGATGTCAGTCCTTTCTGGATACTTCGTGGCAGTTCTAACTTTGTCTTGTCAGCTAACGACCATCACTGAAGGCACTCGAAAAAGCATTTGACAACATTTTCTATCATACGTCGGATTTGAGTACAACATTATTACACGTATTATACGTACCTCCGCGACAACCCAAAACGGGACCCCAGAAAGTGCGAAATGGAACGAAATGGAGCGAAATATGTATGTATCCATTTCGTTACATTTCGCACTTTCTGTACACCGGGCCAAAGGGCCGGTAATAACCTTCAAATAAACGACAGACGGATTGAATGCATTTTTGAGTCATCACGTTTTGTGTATTTTTGCACATACCAGACGAAGTATTTCGAGCACTCCTGGGATATCAGCGCTACCGTAGCCGGCATTGCCGTGTCCCTAAACATGGTCGGGCAGCTGGTGGGGTGCGGGCTGGTCCTGGCCAGGAGGAAGGTCGAGTGGGGGTGTGGGATCCTGTTTACCAACGTCATCTTTCAGGTACGTACATCAATATCGTTATTTCGCGCTAGCCTCCTTCGCAGAGTTGTGGGGCAGTATTATTTTTCGGTGAGCGAAGATTGGGTAAAAGCTTTCTGTGCTCACAGTGTGTCACACTAGTAGTAAAATTAATCAAGCTGGTTGTAGCACAAAGAAATACTTTCGCCCAAGGAGAAGTGAAGATATAACCTCCTTGGTTCGCCTTGTTTCATATTATCGTTTGATATTATTTGCTTTCTCTTACAGGCAGTCATGTATGAATATTTCAAGTACGCCAAATATATTTTGAGGTAAGTGACTTTATTGTGTACGAACCAAATATGAATGCCAAAAACATATGCCAAAACCGACATGTTTTTGCAGAAGACTAATTTAGTTTGCAATCAAGGACACCACGTCAACGACAGTCTAGCAGGGACGATATACGAACTTCTGGATGAATAACAAAAGGCATTCTGTTCTGCCCGACGTCGTTTCTGTATCTGTATCTGTATCTGTAGAAGCCTGTCCCTGACCGGCTGTGTGCTCCTGTTGCTGCTGGACCACTGGGCAGAACGGAAGAGCATGGATCCGGGACTTCTCAAGGTCAAGAAAGAGGATAGGACCCGGATGTTGCTCCAACTGGCAGGTACTAGTACTACAAACGGGGTGAAGACTCTGCTAGATAATAAGACACATTCTAATCTACACTTTTTTGACCAATTTTTTTCGTCGATTGTGGGGACAATTAAACCACAGACAAACATAAACAACAGATCTGATCCCTTTGAATTTTTGCTAATGTTACTGGTAGATTTGGTCAATATATTTACTACTAATGTTTTGTGTCCCTAGGCCGTTGCCTAGTAGGTTTTATGTTCGTGTCCCTGGCCCAGCTAGGTCCGGGCTATCCCATACTGATCATCACCATGGTGGGGTACCTGCTGCTCCTCTGCGTCATGGTCGGCTACAGGACCAGACAGTGTGCCATCATTCTGGCCATCCAGGTAACAAGACTTTTGAAAAAAGTTTATCTCGGCCGCTGGCCATGTAGTTTTGTGTTCTTGGAGGATGTCCACATAGATTTGTGTAACTGCTAGAGAGGAAAGAATGTATTACCTAGTATGTTCATACCTGTAACACCAAACAGGGTAATAAGTTGGCTTCCATTATCATTTGCTTCAATGGAATTAGTGAAAAATGATCATTGCTAAATACAATATAACGTTAAGTATATGTAACCACTACAATAATTTTCATTTTATTTCATTTTTTTATTTTTATTTATTTTTTATTTATTTTCATTTTATTTTTTATTCTGTTTTATTTTATTTCATTTAATTTTATTCTATTTTATCCGTTCTATGCATTATCAAACTTCTCCTCTACTGCTAGAGCTACTAAAACTTCACACCGAATATATTAAACATTTTAATTCGCCCCCTCTAGCGGTTTGGGCCAAATTGCAGCTTTCCAAAAAAATCCAAGATGGCGGCGGCAGATCGGGGCGCGGCTCGGCGATTGCCGATTTCATTGTATTTTCCTTGGTCTTTTACGCGATTCAAGCAAAGAAAACAAGTTGACCACAAGAACAAAAGAGTAATACAGCACTGGGAATCTAATGGTCCGTTTTGTTGGGCGGTAATTTCTCATTTCAAGTGAATATTTACTTGCGTCACAGTGATTTATTCACCAATCAAAAGCGACATCTTGCGACTGAAGCAAATATGGAAGGTTAATGTACATAATTTATGTCATTGATTTATTGGTCCAATTACAGCAGCTATTAGCGAAATTCTAGAACATTAAATGCATACTATGATATAAAACAATGGTTTTGTGGTAAACAGCATTTCCTCTTTTTTAGCAACTTCGTTGTATCAGAATAACGACACTATCATCCGGTAGGTCGACACCACAAAGTAAAGTATACATGCAGAGTAATTGGTTTCATTGGGTTTTTTTTCACGGTCGAAAACACGATCGAACGTACATATTTTGGAGCACAATACCTCGGCCGCTTCAGGCGGCCGAGATAAAAAACCATACGTCTTGTCTTTCTTTTCGTTTACCTGCCAAGCAAAGCAACATCGGATAGGAACATTATGAGAAAACTGTTCTCGTGCTCAAAGAAAAACCGACATATGCATTTTCGACCGAATCACTCGATTCAAAGCTCATTGGTCTTCCTCAGTTTTCTGTCCCACTAGCTATGATCACGTGGTGTAGTTCACGTGTGACGTCAGAAAGTTGGAAGTCGATAAGGTCCCCCGTCACGGTTGAGACAGGGTCGGTACGTCCTGATGTAAATGGTCAACCAATTGGACGTTAGCAAGGCGAAAGAAGCCGGGTTTACAATGACGGTCTCTCTTTTTGTACCAGTTTTTCTTGGTGACCCTGGTGACGAAGACGTGGTGGCTGAAGCCGTGGGACAGTACCAGCAGGGACTTCGTGAAGTACGAGTTTTTCCAGGCGATGTCGGCGGTGGGCGGGCTGCTGCAGGAGGCGGTGGTCGGGCCGGGCAGGGCGTCACTGGACGAGCGGAAAAAGGACGAATAAAACATCGGACTGGACTGGCTGGGGGCGGGGGTGCCAGCAGAGACGGGAAAGTCTCGTATCAAGTGCCTTGAACTAGAGGTTTAAGATCTGCCAAAAGTATTGGTTTTTAACCTTGGAATTTAAGGAAAGAAAGCTATTATATAGCCGTTTGTCAGCCGAACTTAATTGAACAATAGAAAGCCGTTTTAGTTATGATATCCTGAAGATATTATTATATTACGATTTCTGTACATTTGATTCGTCTGGTTTGGCAGCGCATCGGGAATAAGCTGTAGAAGCATGTAGGGGGCTGTATAAGTTTTTAAACAAATTTGTTCGAGGTAGATTTTTTAGCTGTTATGGAGATGAACACTAGATAAAGGTTTATAGTTCATGTACCATTTGTAGGAACTATAGGTTTGAGGAAATGAGTATATGTGGGTATATATGACTGTTAGCAGTAGGGGTTTAAGTACAGCCTAAAATTGTAAAACAGGATTGTAGTCGACACTATGTATTCATGCTGGCAGAGCTTAAATCCTTTCTCTGTAGTCTTATCAGTAGTCCTATATATAGCTATTCAGTATCTGTCGTGCTGCTATTGTTAAGCAAAATCATGTTGCAGCGTGGAAAGACTTTAATGCTTATTCTTGGATTGTCCAGAAAATATCTCAATTGTACGATCCACTTTTAGCTGCTGAGTTAATGCTTCTGGTATCTTTTTTGTCAGTTGTTGCAATAAATATACCCTTAAAAGGTTTTAAGAGTCCGGTTTATTTTGAAATTACTCAACGCAACAGTGTATCGAACAAAGATTTGTTATCCCACATTTAATCCTCGCATTTTGTGTGTGCCTGCCAACGTGACAACCTATGACGTCACAAGGTGAGAACTTGTTGGACAGCTTCGGTGGTGACGTGTCCTCGAGCCGTGACGTCATGTAATGACCCCAGAACGACGACCCAAGTAAAATGGAGGTCTTAACCAAAACAGAAGAACTCGTCAGCGAGGTTAGAGACTGTTTTGATGTACGTTTGATTTCTTCTTTTACGGAACTTCCTGTTTACCCTATGATAGCGGCTTGTGTTCCTGATAAAATGGCCGAAGATGTAATTCTTGTGGCTTGTGATGTAACAAATCGGTATTAATTACATATCAAGGTCGAAGTGAGTTCTTGTTTTTTGTATTTGTTATGATAAAATGCTTCACAATGCTAAGTGATAACTTATCTAGTATTCTATAGCTATCCACGTCTCATTTTCCTATCGTGTCATTCGATAAATAAAGGGAAAATACGCTGATATCGAGGAAATTCATTTTGACATTCCCTGTACGTAATATGTGGAATTTGACTTTTGATTTAAGCAGCAATTCGTTGATTTACGGGCATAGAACTGTCACAGTATCTTCCCGATTATTGAAATCGTGGTAATTCTGTGGCCCCTCCTGGCACATACACAGACCCAGGCCGAAGACGTGTCAGGCAAAATACCTGCCCGTCTACTAAATGTTTTCCGGCCAATTGGACCCAATTTACGGATAAGCCATTGATTTCGCGGTATTGTAAATGTTCTATTCAAAAAGACAACATTAACAGGCAGTCGATTTTGCCTGTTATTAAAAAAATACGTTGTTCAAGCAACCGAGAGCAGTGGAGAGAAGAAGCCAGTTTTCTACTAACTCGGGCAAGTACGTTTTTCTATATCGAAGACTCACGAATTGCTCTGTTGCAACAGGGGAACGTCAGGGCGTTAGCCTCTATCAGGCTTCGTGAAGCGGCTGAAAACGAGCTACAAACGTTTTTCTTATTATTAGTCGGGGCCAACTTCGCTGGCATATTGTCTGTCTATTTGGCTAATTTCTGCTCTTTTTAGCCGCTGCCCAAAGCCGGTTAGTGGATATCGGTGCGTAGTACTTATTTTGGTACTTTGTCTATCTGTGTGTACCGCAGGCAGTAGGCACTAAGACTGTCCGCAGGTCCCTGACCACGGCCGCACGTGTTCTCATCGTCCTGGCGTTTACAGACGACATCTACAGTCAACAGTACGGCTGGTGGTCTAACGTTAATTATTTCGCACAGGTCCGTAAAACATATTATACTTAATATAGGATTTGTCGTTGCAACTTTTAATATTATAGAATGAATTAAATTATAACCTTTATTGTACAAACACAACCACTGGGTTAGGTAATGGTTACAACAAAAGAATAGTATGCACATGTTTAAAGATAATTCTTTTCTTCCTACACAAAATGGAAATGTTCTCACATAGATTTTTTTTACCGAGGAAGACCAGAATGACTGGTCGAAAGCTCTAGGTGAGAACATTTCCCTTTTGTGTTGGAACAAAATTTCTACCTTAAAACAAAAACATAGTTCAAAGATACATCGATGCATTCCAAAACTTGCACTAGTACTATGAACATACATGTATACACTTCACCGTTATTTCTTGTACAGTGTCTTGTGTCCTCGCTGTCCAACTAGCTTTCCAAGGAAATAGTCACCGCTTTTCCAACAGTGTCTTTTTTTAAACTTTTGCTTCAGACTTGGGGCGTGTCTAAAGCGTTGGTCGGCCCCATACTCGGCCTGTTGGTGACTGCTGAGTTTTTTGGAACGTTGCTGATTCTAACCCAGCAGAGATTTGAGCTCGGGTGTGGGGCCTTGTTTTGTGGGACGGTTTTCCAGGTACGTTTTTAAGCCATACCTCAAATACCTGGTCAATAAGTGATAAAGACACGTAGACAAATAAAGTCTAATTGAAGTTCTACCTTTCAGTACAAGAACTGATAAGGTGCGTACATGGTATCTATCTCAGTCAGTATCTGTCACTTCCGCGTTGTTAATTTGTTCAAAGGATTTTTTTTTCTGTTCCAGTTGATCTTCTTCCGACACTACAGGAGCACTTCGGGTGCAATGAGGTAAAGTTAGTGTTACTCAATTGTTGGACAAGTAATTCTATTGCACTTTGTCGCTATATAATCCTAGGGTAACTAAAAGTTTTTCATTAACTGTTCTCACTATGCAGTGCTGAATATATGCAATATACCTTGATCCTATGAACAGATAATCAGTAACATTTTTCTCTTCACATAACCTATAAACCAGAGACCTGTCTCTGTGCGGGTGTGTTACCATGGTGATGTTAGAACGCTGGACGGACCCCGGGACCATGGAACCAGGGCCGCCATCTTTGAAATGGGACGGCAAATTGCGGACCGTCATGCAATTCACAGGTAGGTTAGTATGACGTCGGCATAACGTACTGCGCCTGCGAGAAACCCTGATTTTTCACGGTTTTCGTTGGATGTTTGGTCAACGTTGCATCAGAATTTTGCCTGTTTCAGATAGATATCTTACCCATTGATCATGTGGCGATCGGTGTCCAACTATGCATTAGATAAACCTGATACATTTATAGAAATTAGGCATACTGTGTGTAGGATATATGGCGCAGTTCGTCTCACACAGCCTTTAAATTTTATCACCTGCTTACGATCTGCTCTACCGATTGCGTAAGAAGAAAATCCCTATATCGTATATCTTATACCCTACCGCCTGATGAAATTATCTTCGGAGTACAGCATATGTGTCTGAGTAACATGTTATTGAATTACATCAGATTTAAGTTTTTTTCTGACGATGACGTGCAAAGAGTAACTTTTTTTTCACCCTTCAGGGCGTGTCCTGGTAGGACTGATGTTTTTGCGCCTTGCCGATGATCTTGGGTCACGGAACGTCTTGCTGCTGTTCGGATATCTCCTACTCAGCGGAGTGATCCTCGGGTACAAAACCCGCGTGTGTGCGGGACTTCTGTCCGCCCTGGTAGGTTCACGGTGTCTTTCTTACTCAGCAGAAAGAAACTGCTATCGTGAAAACTTCGATCAAAGTTGACAACAAAATATTAAAGACCCACTACTCTATACGTACAAGTGGACTAGCCCCCTGCTGTAGTGATTGCACAACTGTGTGGCCCAGGGGCTTTTGAACCTGAGATGGGCGCTGCCCTATGCACCACCTTGTGCAGGAAGGACTTAAACGTTTTTTAACCAACTACAAACAATGCAGACTGTTGATGTGTGTGTGTGTGTGTGTGTGTGTGTGTGTGTGTGTGTGTGTGTGTGTGTGTGTGTGTGTGTGTGTGTGTGTGTGTGTGTGTGTGTGTGTGTACGTACGTTACGATATCCATGACCTATCATTAAACGTATTAATGATAAAGTCGCTTAGCTTTCACCATTGAGATGACACGCTCCACCCTCCCCCTTCCTGTACAGTTCTTCCTGACGAACCTTACCGTGTGTTCCTGGTGGATGGAGGAGCCAGACTCCCCCAAGCGGGAGTTCCTGCGGGCCGAGTTCTTCCTGAACTTCGCGGCTATCGGCGGGCTGCTGCTGGAGACCGTGGTCGGGCCGGGGAAGGCGTCCTTAGACGCACAGAGCGGCAGGAGAGTCAGCAGATCACAGTAGTTCAAACGCCTGAAATCGTCCGAGTACTTTGCGATTGATTTGATAGAGGGCGCACTTGTACGGTCGTAATTGAATGTGCGTGACTCACGTTGTGGCATTCAGCAATGATATCAAAACTTGATTGAGGGGAACTTATCGTGCATTGTGATATCTATTCTTTTCACCATTTATTGTTCAATTTTTAAACCAGTTCAAACCTTTGAAAAGGTTTGAGTATCCAAAGGTTTCTGTGAGTCATGTACGAATCTACCAAGATGTCAAGGATTTCTGAATTTGACGAAGTAGGTATCATTCAATTCCTTTGTATTCAGGAACTTTCAAAAATTATCAAAGGCAACCATAACAATGATTGTTGTGACATTTACGTTGTTTGTATTCGATGTTCATCTTTGATAACTTGTATTTGAATGAGATCACACTTGCATACATTATTGGTAGAGGTCGTCCTTGAAGTGGAATGGTGTCATACTACAGGTATTGCAATAGGGGTATCTATTTATTTGAAATTTAATACATTCTTTGTTGAAGAATCTATAATGTATTCCTTAAACAGATCTGATGTTAAGTAGAACAAATCATTGATACACATTTTGTTACTTGCTACTGATGACTCCATGTGGTTTAAGAGATTCTTTTTTGACACAACAAAAAAGTACAGAGACTTTTGTATGGTCTTCTACAACTTAACTAAAGATCTAACAAAGCTAAATACATGTGTGGATAACATTATCTTACGTACAGAGTATATGTATGATGTAACAATAAAGGTTAACTATTCTCTAACATGTGTTCTCTAAGATCGAAACATTCTTTAATGTATTTTCCTATTTCAACACTGTATTGGTTATCTCCCCTGAGAATGTAGTTGCATTTATCTATAGGATCTAACGTATTGAAATCAATTGAACAAGCGGAAAGAAAGGTGAACAGCAATAGGCGCTTATCATTACAAAATGGTGCTCATTTTCAATCTTGTTAGATTAGTGTTGGTGTCGATCTCATTCAAACATTTCAGAGGGATCCTGGTTACAATGTTATATCAATTCATTAAGGAAGATTAAACCTTTTTACATTTCTCATTATTACACGTTTAGACAGAATCATCATGTTTGTTCACTACAAGCCTATATGCATATGTGCTGAGGTAGGCCATCATTGCTTTCCATTGTCTTTTGTATTAACATGTTCAATGTAGTCTATACACCATAGAGTAAACTATAGTTATTAAAATTCATCATCATTGTCAAAATGTATATGGAAACATTCAGAGAAGAAGATCAATTTGAACGTATTATTGCAAGTGTTGAAAATAACCATGAAATTGCTAAAGTTTTGTTTCTTATCTCTTGAAGATGATTGTCTCCAGTTGCACCAGTGGTATTTCCACCGCCACAGACACCAGGAAGGCAAAAGCATATGCTAGAGCCACGTGTCCCAAGAAGAAGTAGATCTGAAAAAAATTCAAATGGACATTGAAAGTCTGCCAACTGATTATAGTATGACAAGAGGTAAAACTTTGCCCTAGGACGTGTTCTGTTATATTCAAATTCTGTTTAGATTGTGTAATAGTGATGCATGGCCAGAGACCAGTTTTAGTGGTGATAGTGCAGTGGCACCAAGCAGTGGAAAGTAGGACTAGTCAATTAGTGTCCAGAGCATGGTAACAGCAGTACTTTCCAATGGTAGGCAGGTGATTGGGCAGTGAGATAGATCGCATACATGAGCTATACTTTGGGTCCCTTGGGTGAAGAAATACACAACGTGAGATTCATCCCCGCACGTGGGGTTGGCACGTTCATATGATCTCTCACTCTGTGTGTTCTTCATTTTCGATACCCCCATGTATACCTGCATATATATTAGCTGACCAGTTGTGTACATCAACGCACCATACTGAATGACGTGAAGTGGATGGGCAGATCCCTGGAGAGATATACTGCCAACACCACCAGAAGGTGCCCCAGGTAGGCACAGTAGGTCAGTTTGCTCAGGGGCACCAAGGCCTTCCATGAAAGGATGATGTCCACCACTCCTGTACAGTAATAATAAGTGCATGACAACAAAGATAGCGATCAATGGAGCATAGCGATCCAATCTAAGTACAATCATTATAGTAACTTTCAAAAATTATGAGAGGTATTTCAAAAATTGTTCACATTTGTTCTGATGAAGAGTACCGGATGGTACTTGAAACGTTTACGCATTAAACTGTCAATTATCCAGTTAGAAAAGATTCAACGGCTTCATCAATTTATTATAGTAACTGTTGTAACATGGTAGCTTCAGAAAGGAGTATAACTTAGAAACACGATGCCAAGTTATAAATGACAATGGCAATATTGCTCAACAAAGTGAAGAACAGAAACTGAAAAATCATATAAATGACAACATGGTTTGTAGCAAATGGCGTTGACTTTAGGCTTGAAAATCACAACAGCAATTGATCAATGCATGACTATGTTACCTCCGTATCCATAGTAACACGCGAGAACCACCCAGCCCAGCGCCATGCCCCAGACAGTGCGGTGCAGAGTCACGTACAGCACGTGCTCGTGTTCGGTCTTGAACGCTGTCCCCTGGTACACGCCGTATGGTGAATACAACACAGCCACGGCAGAGGCAGCAGCAACCAGCCAACCAACGGCCATCAACAGTCTCACGGTCTGGTACACAAAGGTGGAAAATTCGTCGTTAGAAACAGGAACAAATGTTGTCAAAGTGTCTTCAAGATTTTGTCATCGTTGTTGTTGCATCAAGTAAAGGGCTGGTACCTTAATGTCCTTAATTTCAGCAACAACTAGTCTAAGAGCCCCATAATTTCATACCTTCGCCAAATGATGAGTTTGACTCACCATGGTACTTGTCGGTTTCCGTTTATCTTGTTAAGCATCCAGCCAACAAAAACTCCCACCAGGTACGGTCCAATGCGGCAATATGGCTTGACATAGTACATAGGCCAGTATAATCTGGAAGAGAAAGTAGATGGTAAATTCAAACAACTTCTTTTTAGATGGCTATTTGAACATTAGCATATAAGGCTAACTCCATATTACAGTGTGCCATTCATGCATGCTATCTCATATCAAAATGTTTTCGGTATTGTTAGTAATTATAAAAGCTTTAGGAAACTTAAAAATAGCATGGAGAAATACAAACTGACAGGCTTTTGGTGGCATGAACAAAGTACACATGAAGTATGAATTCAATAATGTCCGGCGAATCAGCGTTTACGAAGGCAAACGTTAGATGTATATGCTGATATTTAGATACTATGCATTTACTGTGACTGTATGTAACGTTAAAGACATGGTCTGTCATCATTCAGGAACATTATACGGTCTCCTTACGTGAGGCGAGGAGCTTTTATGTCATATTGCCAACTGATGACTGCAATAGTGATGAAGCTTGCCAACAGAAGAACCAGCTGCACAACAAGCCCCACTATCTGCCACCTGTGAATAAGTATATGTATCATGAGCAAAACTTAGCCGCAAAGCTCATGTGTCGTTCTGCTGACATATATTTGATACAAAATGATATCATATTCGTTTTAGTTAGTGATTACACTTTTTACAGGTAAACGACGATAGATTAGAATTATGTCCGTTGATGACAGTGAATGGGTTAGTGCATTGTATTCGAATGGTTACGACAATGCCTTTAAACATACGGAAGAGAACATTTCGTGATGGATTTGATTTAAAGACAATATTGTGTACCTGTACAGTATGTAGACGAGAGGAACTCCTATGACAAAGAACTGCATATCATTGGCCAAGTACCAGGTCCAGTCCATACACTAGAGTCATAAAAGAGAAGTAGGCATTACGATTCAGTCCTAGCTGTTAATAAACATAGTACATTAAATTAACAACATGATTTTCTTGGATGTCAAGCCTAATCAAAGCTGAACAGAAATGTGCCTACCTCCTTGTCAGAGTTGACAAGATTGTTAATATACAGTAGGTTCGTCCACCAGTTTTTCCCACAGTTCGGATCTATCCCGTTAGGAGGTTTTGGCCAAAAGGGACCGGAGAACATGTAGGGAAGCACCCACATGTACAGCATCAAGACGAACATGTATGTAGGCGTCAACCTGAGGATGGCAGAATGAAGGCAACTGTTCATGTGTACCAAGACGTTTCTTGCATGATCATTGTATTCGTTGACACTGACGACAAGTTTCACATCATCATAGCCTGTGGTACCCAGAAATGTGCTTTATCCAGAACAATGCTCAGGCACGGTTCTGGATAACCCACGCGTATCCAGAATCGTACCTGGGACGAATCTTGTGTATACGCGGAGACTATCCAGAACCATGACTGATCCTAACCCTAACCAATACAAGGGTAGACCTACATAAGCACGGTTCTGGATACGATATAGGATCATATAGCCGACCGTTGGAATGCCCTCACCTCCAATATCTGTGGAAATACACCATCCCGTATGGAACTGATTGCCCCATTGCTTGTTTCTTTGCGATCTGCCTCAAAAGAACGTACGACATCAGGAGCCCACTGGAAGACAAGATATGAAAACTAGGTGAGCTCTTGATTCTCGTTTACATTAGCTTGAAATGACTAGTTGCAACGCACAAAACGGTCTACTATATTGAGACAATACTTTAACATGTATTACTAACTGAATCAGGGACCACTGTTAAATAACGTACACGTTACCTTACCTGAGGAAGAAGAAAGAGTCCACGGCAATGAAGCTATTATTGATGGCTTGAAATGTAAACGTTTTCACGATCTCAAAGGGCTCTATTGGGTTGTCTGAAAAATGATAATCAATTCATCATAAATGCCAGATTCACCCATTCTCATCACATCATGTGAAATACTTACATACCAGAAATGTAATATTTTCAAAGCAAATGCATAATGTTTACTTTCGCATATAGTCTGCTCTGTTAATTCTTACTCAAACACATTCATACATATGGTGACAGGAGTCTAAATCCCTCCTACTATAAAATTGCAACATTATGTAACCCAACCCCAGTTATCATGGTGAGAGACAGTCTGCTTCAGGTCATTGACCAGGTCAGAGGTCAGTGTTTGGAACGGAAGAAGAAACAGAGCAAAAACAAAAATTTTGATGTTAAACTTTAACAATCACTGTCGACTTAATCAGTTAGTTGGAAACAACAGAGGGGACAAGCGAAATCATACATTTTCATGTGATACTTTAGACGTACCATCAGTACGCCGACCAGTATTTTTACTTCAAAGCTTGAATTCCCTTGCTTTGTAGTTAACGTTGTCTGTCAAAACGATTGTCGAGTTTTGAATTAGACACAAAGCACAATCTACATACCAAAGTGCGACCGGTTGCGGGCGAACCCGTACGTGTGTGCCAGGATGACCCAGGTCAGACTGATGAAGCGGATGCCGTGGAGACACGTGATGCTGCCGGGTGCCTGTTTGGTGCTGAGGAGCTTCCCGATGTTGGTGTAGAGGGAGAAGCACAGGAGGACACGGCCGGCGATATGTGTACCGGCACCTTGTATGGGAGATGGGAAAGTTAAAGACAAAGTAGAACCCCACAACTTACATTGTATGCTTCCTTACAAAATTACTGTTCTTCAAATTTGTTTGATGACAAGCCATGCATCCTTTCGACATGATGTTGACCGTCGTAATAGCTTTTGCCGATCGCAGAATGATTGGTTGAAAAGATCGCTTAAAGTTAAATTTGACCTTCTTTTGCTGCCGGAGTTTCCTTGGGAGGGACTGTATTTATCACAGACGTTTTATCGCCAGCTGCTGGAGTTTCATTTGAAGGGAGTGCGTTCATCACAAACGTTTTGTCGTCAGGTAGAGTCACGGGAAGGTCTGGCTCTTGTGCTTCACTCTCCTGCAGAATCATGTCACCAAACGCCAGTCAGAGCAGTCATACGGACATTTTACAACGGTAATCTAATTACTCTCAATCTTCTACTGTTCGTATGAAATGGACTCAAACTCCTGCAATTGATTTAACTTTAGCATTGATATGTTTTGCATCACGAGGCATGCAATACATGGTTTGTACCATTTTACACAACAGAATATATGAATTACCTAAATACGGCAATCTGTTGTTACACGTTTGACTGGGTGGAAATTCGAATTCTGCTTTAGCTTAATCGTTGTATTTGATGCTTGAGGGATATGCCTTTACCTTTTGCCTTTTAATGGCCAACAGTCGGGGTTGGTGGATGATGACGTCATAGACGGTGCCGATCGCGTTTAGAAGAAGGACGACACTGCAGATACAACTGTGCAAACAACGGAGGGGACAAACATGTCAACTTTGATAAGTAGGAGAACAGAAATAGCTAATCCATGATTAGTTTCATCTGACTGAATAAAAGACTTGGTTGTGTAAATAGAGCCTTTTTTTACTCGAACATAGTTAATGTCTTTTGCAGCTAGTCCTAGTTATGTACAAAAAGAACAAGGATTACAAATATGCTCACATCGCAGCAATAGTGACGCCCTGGATAGGTGGGGATTTCTGTGAATAGGCGGACGTCACTTGTAACATTCCTTGTTGAACGAGGACACGCCAGTAGATACCTGAGACAATAAAAAAGTTGTCATCGTTTAGAAGGTACCATAACTACTTAACCTCTAAATTGATTCAATTAAATGCATTGTTGGAGACACTACTTGATTCATTTGCATTAGTTGTCAGAATTAGATGATTGATTGTTAAGAAATGTACATGTACACATGGAATAGTTAATGAATTAAATGTACAAAGATTGAGTGTAAGAAGTCGTTTGGTGTGATATAGCCAGCTGCCGCCGCGCCGCGTGCCTGCGAAGCTGGTGTGTTACGCCGAAGGGAGATCATACCGGCTATACCGATACAGATAATTTCTAACAACTGTTTAAAGTATGAACTAGACTCACTGCCGTCCAGTTGCTGAATAACGTCATGTTGAGTACAGGAGCTGGGTACACAGACCCCGACCATCAACCTGGTCACACCGGCTATTCCGCCTCCACCCTGGAGAAATGTACACAAACAGTGACATGATTTTTTTATGTTTGGCGAAGTGAAACATATTGTTTTTGCTACGTTTCCTCTCCTTCTTTTTTCTTCTCCAAGCCAAAACCTAAATGAAAATGAAATGAAACCGTTACCCCACAATGAGTTGTAGACGAAGTTCTAAACAAGCTTTGAGGAAATGAATATACTATAATTTAAGCATTACAATTTTTGTCACTTTTTACCTTACCTTACCTTACTTTGTTAGTTCATCAATGGCTAAAACGTCTACTCGCCAGTGTTAGCTAATCAGATTCTGGTATACGTACCTCGGCCACAGGAACCAGCGTAGTCATGTAGAACTTCCCATCGAAGGTGATGTTGAAGTCTTTCCCCGTGATGGACACACATTGCGAGTACCTACCGGCCCAGACAAGGTTTCCCTCCAAGATTCCACTCAGGGGTTTTCCACCCGCATCCAGCACTGTAGAGAGAGAGAGAGAGAGAGAGAGAGAGAGAGAGAGAGAGAGAGAGAGAGAGAGAGAGAGAGAG